GGGGGGCAGTCAGTGTATTTGGTGTCAGCATAGAGGTTCTGTCCAGGCTCTGTCCAGTGGGAGACAGAGACTCAGTCATGTGTCAAAAGGTCAGGGGCTCTGCCCAGCCAGGGGCCTGAGGGACTGTAGCCCTGAGTGATGGTACAGGAACCCCTGGAGCCCCTCCCTGATATGTGACCTTTCCTGTCTGAGCCTCAGCCCCTCCAGCAGGCCTTTGCCCCGTGACCGGAGGCCAGTTTCGGTGATGAGAAAGCAGATGTGTGGCACCAGGAGCCATAAACCCAGTTTCAGTTTTGTATTGACATGGGTATGGGGGTGGGGCTGGAGAGGACCAATCCAGGAGGGCTTCCTGAAGGAGGAGGCATCCAACTGGGGTGAGGGTTTGAGCTTCAGGACCTGTTGCTCTGTTACTCCTGTGTGACTTCAGGTGAGCAACTTCCCCTCTCTGGGCCTTGGTTTTGTCTTGTAAATTGGGGACAAAAATGGTCCCATTACAGGATCTTGTGAGGAACAGATAAGATGGGTGAGCTGAGACTTGCCCAAGGCCACAGGTGAGAGGGACCCTGGGACCTTGAACCCAAGACCCACCCCTTGTTGTCCTCAGTGAATCACCTGGGAGAAATGGGCCAAGGAGGAAGTGGTGTGCCACCCTCACCCCACCTGACAGGGAGACCCAACACCCTCTAGGCAGGCAGATTTTTTCCCCAGGAGTTGATGTGCCCTGTGGGTTATAAATCCTGGTGAGTGAACATCCAGCTACTCACTCAGCAAACACTCCTGAGTCACCCGTGCCACACCTGTTCTTCCCAGGGAGCTCCAGGGCATGGGGACAGAGCTGACCCAGAGGACAAGCTGTGGTCTGGAGGGGAGTCCCAGAGGGGCAGCCAGATCTGCAGCTAAAATAACCTACCCCCCACATCCTGAGAACCTGGGGTGAGTAATGTTTGCAGAGATCACACCCTGTTCAGCCAGCCTTTATTAGGTACCTGCTGAATACCAGACTCTGGGCTGTAGGAGGAGTGCTCACCTGGGGCCCCTGGGAGAGAGGGTCCTGGGCTGATAGCTTCAGGTGGGAGAAGACAGGCCTTAATAAACTTATTCCCCTATCAAAGACATGTTCACCCCCCAATAACTTTCTTTTTTTATTTTAAATGACAGTGAATGGGTTTTGTTGTTGTTGTTTTAATATATCCTTATTGATTTCAGAGAGAGGAAGGGAGAGGGAGAGAGAGAGAGTTGAAACATCAATGATGAGAGAGTGGTCACTGATAGGCTGCCTCCTGCACGCCTCCGACTGGGGATCGAGCCCTCAACCTGGGCATGTGCCCTGACTAGGAATTGAACCACATCTCCTGGATCCCATCCAGGCACCCCCCCCCAATAACTTTCAAAGAGAAAATCTCTGTGGGGGGGCTACTCAGTCTGTTATTGGGACAGTGGCTCAGTGCGGTGTCCTGAAATTTACTATCCAAGCCACTGTTTTAAACACTGTTTTCCTAATTGTAGTTTCAATATTTGATATATACAAAAGATTGCATGATACATAACCTGTTAGTTGTAACATTGTTCCCATGATCAATTTTATGTTACTTGATGACACTTCCGCAGTTCAAGGACATGCTGTGATTTCCTTTTTAGAACCACATTTAGCTTTTACAAGCAAATTGGTATAAAAAGGCAGCGGACGTACATAGTAGCTCCGGTGGGATCAGGGTCCAAGGCCAAGAACAAGGGTTGCTGGAGGAGTTGGGAACAACTCATCTTCCTTTCCTCGACTGTAAAAAGGTGGCACCTAACACTAGGTGCTGGGCCAGGCACACAGGAGATGCTGAGATGATGGGCTCCAGCAATGGGGGCAATCTGGGGGGCTCCCTGGAGGAGCTGTCCTGTGGGCTGCAGCTAAGGAGGCTGTGGAGGTGTAGAAATGAGGGACCTTCAGGCAAAGGGAGATGCAGGGGGAGGAGGAGGGTCAGGTTTGAGGTGAAGGCACCTACAGAGTTTGGGAGTTTGTGTTGAGGCCAGATGGAGGCTTTGAGCACCTGGGGAAAGCGGTGAGAAATGAACCTTGGAGATGCCAGGAGCTATAGAGGTGCGAGATCAGGTGTGTGACCTAGAAAGCTCCTGGACCCATGCTCAGCAGGAACCTGGACCCTTGGGAGGGAGGCTGGGCCTCCCTGGGGCACTGGGTCAGGGTGTTGCGTGGCCCAACAGGACAAGGTCCAAGGCGTTCCCTAGCCTATCCTGGCTTTAAAGGGCTGAGGCAGGGTGGGGATAGGTTGTCTGGGATGGGACAAGGTGTCCTACTGGGCAGGTGCAGGAGAGAGGACCAGGATATGGGTTCTGGAAAGCTGAAATCTCTGCCAGTTGCTGCCCCTTTCTGGACCTCAGTTTCCCCACTGGACATTCTTCAGCAAGAGGCAAGCTTGCTGGAACCATCTGTAAATGTCAGATGAAAACAATCACAGAGCCCTGGCCAGGTAGCTCAGTTGATTGGAGCGTTGTCTTGATGCACCAAGGTTGCAGCGTAGATCCTTGGTCAGGGCACATGCAAAAATCAACCAATGAATGAATAAATAAGTGGAACAGCAACTCAGCATTTCTCTCTCTCCCTCCCTTTCTCTCTCTCTCAAATCAATTTTAAAAAGATGTTGAGCAGGGGTGCCTGCAAATGTCAAACACACATGGAGCAAGTTGTTGAATCAATACAGGGGCAAGATTCAGGTGCGGCTGGATCCAGGCGTTCAAACATTTTTAGGATGTTGTGTTTGGTTTGGGGTTGCTCTTGAGCAGGCTGTGTCCACAAGGGGGCATGTATTGCCCCCCAGAATTTCTCCATTTCATCCCACCAACCTAACGAGCCTATCAGGAAGAGGGCACAATTTCCACATTCATTGGCAAGTCCCAGGATTTCATGTCATTGACCAGGTTGAATCATATATCCATCCTTCAACCAATCAGAGAGGCCACTTGGGCAGGACTTTGCCCTTTGAGGAAATGGACACTGTGCCTCTCCCCAAGTGCCCTGACCTGGTGGCTGTCATTCCTTCTCATCCTCAGGGAGCTGAGAGGTCCACCCCAGGAACCTGTGGTGGCCTGAGACACCCAGAACATGGACCGAGTGACCAGATACCCCATCTTCAGCATCCCCCACTCACCGGGCATGACCAGCCTGGCTCTCAATGGGGACACCAGTTACACATACCAGCTGGTGGATGTGGGGCCCTCGGACAGCGGCTGGGGCCAGGACCAACCTATGAGGTGGGCAGATGACCGCAAGGCCCGGCTGGATGTGTTGAGGACAGGCACATCTTGCAGCTTGCGCACCTTCGCCAGCCAGCCGTCCCTTCAGCTCGAGGACGATGACAATGAGGAGGTGAAGGCCCACCGCCTAGACCCCAGTGATGCCCCGCTCAGGTGGTCACGGGACCTGGAGCGGGAGCGCTGGGCGGTCATCCAGGGCCAGGCAGTGAGAAAGAGCGGCACAGTGGCCACGCTTCATAGCACCCCTGACAACAGGAACCCCAGGTCCCCAGGACCTCAGTTCATGCCCCTGGAGGAAAATGTGGTCGACAGGGAGCAGATCAACTTCTTGGCAGCGAGGCAGCAGTTCCTGAGCCTGGAGCAGGCAAATGCAGGGGCCCCTCAAAACCCCCCAGCCAGGGCGGCCCTGGCGTGTGCCCCGCCCAGGATCAGCCAGGCCCCCAAGGCCTTGAACAAGCCGCCCCTCGCCAATGGGTATGCCGTCTCAGCCAGGCCCCAGGCGAAGGAGGGGGTCATGGGAGGGAGGAGGGTCCATGGTTTGTCCACTGGGTCCAGTGTCCAAGCTATGGACGGCCCTGGTTCCCAGTCCCAAGAGGAGCCACTGGAGGTCCCCAAGGAGACACCCATTGAGCGGGAGATCCGACTGGCCCAGGAGCGCGAGGCAGCTCTCCGCGAGCAGAGGGGCCTGCGGCGGGCGGCGGGCCACCAGGAGTTGGTAGAGATACCCTCCCGGCCTCTGCTGAGCAAGGTGAGCCTGGTCGAGGCTCCAAGGCGGGACAGGGGGCGCCCATCACTCTATGTGCTGCGAGACATAGCGCAGGAGACGCAGCGCGAGGAAGACCATCGGCGGGCGGGCCTGCAGGCGGGCTGGGTGTCCATGCCCAGCTGGTACTCCGAGGGCCCCCAGCCTGGGCTTAGGAGAGCACTTAGTTCAGACTCCATCCTTGGCCTGGCCCCAGACACTAGTGCGGCCGACCCCACTCCAGAGCTGAGGAAGGTGAACCGCATCCCACCTGATGCCTACCAGCCATACCTGAGCCCTGGGGTTCCCCAGCAAAAGTTCCCAGCTTTCCACACATATGGCAAGCCTAGTGGTCTTTCTGCAGATGAGGCCAAGGTGGTGGCCTCGCCAAAGGCCACAGGGTCCCAGAGGCATCTCTCAGAATCCTCTGGAAAACCCTCAAGCACAAAGCAGGAGTTCTGGAAGCCCCCCAGGGGATCCCCACAAGCCAACAGGGGTGTTGTGCGCTGGGAGTACTTCCGCCTGCGTCCTCTGAGGTTCAGGGTCCCAGATGTGCCCCAGAAGCCTGAGATCCCCCGAATCTGGGGCTGGGAAGTGGCTGGGGCCCCAGCATTGAGGCTACAAAGATCCCAATCCTCTGAGCTGCTGGAGAGAGAGATGGAGAGTGTGCTGAGGCGGGAGCAAGAGGTGGCTGAGGAACGACGCAATGCTCTCTTCCCGGAGGTGTTCTCCCCCCAGCTGGACTGTGACGAAGACTCCAGGAGCTCCTCCCAGGCATCGGGTGAGGAAGGGTCCTGGGGAATGGCTGCTTTGATCTGGTTTCAGAAGTTGGAGCAGAGAGGGGTGGGGAGGTGGAGTTTGGGGATATCAGGGGGTACTGAGGGTGGAGGGACAGCTGGGAGACTCCGCCCACTCCCCCAGTTGGCTGGTCTCTCTGCCTGTATGTCTCCCTAAGCTGTAGATTTTGGAGAGAGGTGTCAACTTTGCCCTGGGGTTTTTACATTTTGTTATTAGGTGCATAAAGGGTTACAGATGTTGTATCCTCTTGGTCAACTGCTCCCCTTTGTCAACATGAAATATCTCCTGTGTCACCTTCTTTTTTTTTTTTAATATATCTTTGTTGATTTCAGAGAGAGGAAGGGAGAGGGAGAGAGAGAGATATAGAAACATCAGTGATGAGAGAGTCATTGGTCAGCTGCCTCCTGCATGCCCCCGACTGGGGATCGAGCCCACAACCCGGGCATGACCGGGAATTGAACCACATCTCCTGGATCCTAGGTTGCTGCTCAACCTCTGAGCCATGCTGGCCAGACTCCTGAGTCACTGTTAATGTCTTTCACCTTGCATGGTTGGCCCATCCACCCATCCAGTTCTTCCTGACTGGCTATTTTCTCACTCTAGCAGTTTTTCTAACAAGCTGTCTGCTCTGCACATCTGCTTATTCACCTGCCTCCTTAACTGGTGTTCTGTGCCTCCCAGGCTTTGGTCTGACAGGTGTGCTGCCCTCAAGGGACTATGGCACCCTCCCTGATGTTCCTTCCTTCCCCCTGCCCACCACAGGCATCATGGGCAGCTACTCGGTGTCCGAGTCACACTTCTTCAGCCCCATCCACCTGCACTCAGGCCTGGTGTGGACAGCGGAGGCCCCTGCTGAGGTGACTCCTGGGCAGAGAAAGAAGAAGGAGCAGGGGGTGAGTCTAGAGCCCTGCCCATCCCCTCAGGGGCTGGCTGAGGTCTGACCCCACCCCATTAGGGCCACAGGAAGGCAGAGCAAGACTTGCCAAGGGTCACATGGCCCGTGAGTTCCTGAGCTGGGACTTGAACCCAGGCCTGAAACCATACCACACATCTGTAACCATGAGGCCATCTCCTCCCTGAGCTGGGTATTGGGAAGACCGTAGACAATAACACCAACCCCAGCCTCACCCACCTGGAGCCCACAGCCTGGTCTCATGGCTTGGGGCACAGAGTGGAGCCCAGTGACCCGGCTCAAGTCTCAGTCCTGCCACTTTCCGGCTGTGTGATGTTGGGCAAGTTCCTGCCCCTCTCTGGTCCTCAGTCTCCTCTGTGAAATGAGCCTGATAGTAAGTCCAGCCACCTCCAAGCCTTACACTGGGCCTGGCCACGGGAAGAGCTCCATAAACATTGACTGTCTTTATTATGCTGAATTGACAAAGAGAAAAAAAATGGCAAATGATAGACTGAGGCTGCACTGAGGGGAACAGCCTGAAGGAACGGCATGGTGGATGGCTGAAAGTGGGGTGATCGAGGGGCGCTCAAGAGAACCATGTGGGCATGGAACACCTTCCGTCCTGCCTTAAGTGGTGACCGAGTGGCTGTGTGCTGAGTTCCAGGCAGGCTCTGGGGTGGGCAGGGCCAGGAGGCCCGGGGGCTGACGTGTGCTCTTTTCCTATAGTACGCCGGCATCAACCCCTGGGACCACGTCAACTCAGAGGTGAGTGTCCTCCTGGGGGCAAGGACTGTCTTTTCCTCCCCGTCTGTGTCCTCTGCCCCATGGCACCAGGGACATCAAAAACCTTTCTTTTGGGTGTGAAAATTTCACGGGGTAGTCTCTTCATTGATAGTGTCTACTTGCAGTGGATTTTGCTCTGATCTGCTTGTGATGCCTGCCATGGGCACAGATTGGGCAAAATAGGTGCACTTGCAGCTTCTTGGTCAAATGATGAAGGTTTTGGAACAGATTGGGGCATTTTCTTTGAGGGGGGAGTTAATCTGAGAGTGTGGAGAAGGCCAGCTATCTCGGTGGATTTGTGGAATATATTTGGGGTCATCTTTGAGCTGAGCCCAAAATGCCATACCCAGGTATTTCCCTTGCTGTGGAGCTCAGCATGAGTTAGCGCATCCCTTGGTGCTATTGCTAGGAACAGAAGGTCTGAAACAGAGGAAGGGATGGTCCTGCCAACCTCTCCTATGAGTTGGCAGTGGGGGAGGTGTCTTGGGGGGTTTAGAACCCTAATGGGGACTCTATGCCTCCTCTTGCAGGTCCTGGAAGCCACACGGGTGACCCGCCACAAGAATGCCAAGGCTGAACGCTGGGAAGCCGGTGTCTATGCCAGTGAGGATGAAGACTGAGCCTGGAGACAGGGGTACCTTGACCCTGTGGGAACTGCCAAGACCATCACTGAGCCCTCCACTTTAGGAAACAGGTTCCCATTTAAATCCACAATCCAAGAACCACAAATGACATGCTGACAATGCAGAGGGCTGGTGTGCCTCCAGACTCCAGGGCTTTCTTTGCTGATTTTATTTTTCTAGAGAAATTTTTCTGCTTTTTCTGAGTCTAAAGTTGGGGATAAGATGGGACCTCTGCCAATTCTTTCTTCTTCTAGGACTTTGCCAAATGCTCTTAGGTCCAAGAAGGAAGGAGACCAGTCCCCCCCC